AGAGTGTAGGAGGAAATTTTGTACACCACCCCACACGGGAAAGCATCGGCTGTCATTTGTCTAAAATATAGTTAGCAAGTTAGCTTGCCAAGTCGGATTTGAGTTGCTAACTACATCCGTCATTTTGCAATTGCATGCGGACCAACAAATAAGCAAACCACAACCACACACATACACACATCTACGCCAACACAGCCATCGGCATTGAATGAGCGTAGTCACATAGTCGTGCAGTGACGCTTTGTCTAGTTGTTGCTGACCATTTTGGGCCAAAATGTATTGACGTCCAGCAGTCAAATAATGCGCTTGTCGCTTGCCATTTTACAATTTGCCAGTTGACAGTTGGTATTATGTCGGTCAAGCAGCAGTGCTTGTCGTGCTCGAAAGTTGAATTTGCACACATATGTTAAATCTAGCCATATATATATATATATATACTATGCGTGTGTGGTCAGTTGCGTTGTTGCCAAAACCTAAGGGTTACAAGCGTTTTAACCGACTTTTTTGCGTCCATGTTGCTAAAGTTGTGACTTTCAGATATGAAGGTTAGAGTCATTAATGYGGCGAATATTTGAATTGAAAGCTATGACAATGCACTACACGAGCCAACGTGTAGTTATATTTGAGCTTTCAGGAGTACCGTTCGCCAGTCGTAATTACGGTACAATAATTTTGTCACTTTGGTTTGATCACCTGGTATTACATAATAACCGCATAGAAGAAGGCTTAGTCTCATTTATTTTTGATCTAATCCATATTTTACTATTTCTGTTAGATCTTATCAAATAGASAGGCATTTGTAGTTACTATTCTGAATTATTAGGTTTCGGTCGACACTGAACTCGGCATATTCAAGTCGTTCACAGTTTCCGACCTCGTTGTCGGTATAAAGAGTGGAAAGTGAAACAACTACAATGAATTTTCTAATCATCTTTAATTTTTAAGACACAAAGGTTCCAAAATAGRGTATAATCAAACGCAAAACAGTCAAAATTAAAGAAATGCCTTTATTTCATAAATTATTATTATTTARGACTATTATTACTTGAGTTTTAATAACTTTTTAAATCAACGAATAATTCTATCAGATGACCCCTACCGAGGGTTCAACTTGAGACTTGTCGAACTACTTACCTAGTCTTTTGTATAATAAGAAATAAGTATAATTTTAATTCAAGTTACCAGATACTGCTTTATTTATTCCCACATATTTTKTTTCTTTAGTATCATATCCAAGGAGTTATAACATTGACTGATTCGATTTGGATTCCTGCAGTAAGATTGAATATCCTATTGTATGTTAGCTGCATCAGTAGTACTGTAGAAGTTCAGAGAGAATCGCCTTTACATGTTCTACTCGTATGTTCTGCTTTTACCAGATAGAGGTAAAAATAACTCGGGCTTCATAAAGGATTCCAAAAAGTTCAGGGCGATTTTGCCGATAACTGATATCCAACTACAGGAGTTTTTTTGTTTGCCCCCATAAATATAAAATCATATAAAAGAATCAGCGATCTTACCCAGTCATATCAATAATCGTTCTGATTCGGCGTATGTAAAAGATCTCAAAAAAAAAAAAAAAAATAAAAATAAAATAAAAAAATTCACTATAACCCAAGATTAGCTCGAGTCTTACAAAACTCATTGAAGTTGTATTTAAAATAAATTATAATTTGAATCCCTAAAAATGTGTTCCAAAAAAGTCGGAGTCATCATTCGTTCGCTACTTGACTCGAATTCCCGCGGGGAAGTTGAATGCCTTGAAATTGTGTAGAATGTACTATATAACCCACACATGCAATACATTGTATGTTTACATATACATAACAATGCATATGATTTTCGCATGTTTAGAATTTATACACTTGATTATGTTTTYGAATTTCACATGCGCTCTTGTTTGCCTTGTATTGTAGGAACTCTTATGAATCTACATATTTGTTATTGCGTACTTACCCTCACTGCGGGCACGACTTTGTCCGGTCGCAAAGATTTCAATATAATTAAGTATAGCATTTCYTCCACTGCATCGTACGGCTTTGGTAGTGGATACTCCTCGGGCGATGATAAGTCGTAGTATTTCTTCCATAGATGAATATCCTTTGTGAATTGCTTGTAGAAGTCTTTGAGACTAGAAAGAGTGGAGGACACATAAATACATAAAGGCATCTGTATGTGTAAAAGGAGCTCGAGTGTTTATAAAAGCCTGCAAGACTACTTGGTATGATTACAAGGCTCCATGTTCATAAAAAATATGTGACCTGTATATGGTTCAACGAACTCTTAAGTTTCTGGTAATAAAAGAATATATTACAGTTAAGTTACTTTAAAAAGTTGAGAAATGAGTTGAAGATAAAAACTTAGCTAAAATCTTAAATGCTATCTAATTTATTAAGCTAACTTCCTAACTTCTATTCATTAAATTAAAGGTACACTCTCCTTTGTCTATGAATGCATTCCTTCCACAGAAAATTATTCCAATATTCCRAATTTCATCTCATTAATCTATCATATAAATCAAAAGCGGTTAAGGAACAAGCGAAATAACAACAAAAAGTTTCAATGGAAATGGGAAGAAGCAATAATAAATTGTGATTTAAATTGTTTTTGGCGGATCATTACATCAAAGCGAAGTTTATAAAAATGAAGAATAAATTAGGAAATATCAAAATATGATTTTGAATAATGCCACAATCAACTCGCTTTCAGCTTACTTTGTTAATGAAATTGGCATTAATTCTTAATGTACGGCAAATGCAATTAATAGGAAATAAAATATGAAGCCTCTTTAGGAACAAATGGAGTGCGATTAAGCGCGCATTTAGCTAATTGAAGGCCGTGAACGAACCGTGTCAGTTCGAGTTCGACCGCGTTGAGTTGCGTTGGGTTTTAGATGCCTCGATTTGTGCTAACCTCAGCGCATATTAGCAAGACGAGCGTAAAACTCGAAGGTTGTGCAGCTTAAAAAGTACAAAAGCCTTTTGAGAAATTATGTTGGCATTGTTTTGCTCGTTGCCTAGGTTGCCCGTTTAAGTGCCTCACTTGAKTAATGAAAGTGATGGCATATTCCATTAGCTTAAAACTTTTTCAATGCCGAGTGTTTTCTTAAGCTAAACCTCAGTATTTGCGAATATTTGTTGCTTAATATGATCTTAGTGCATCCTTTTTCGCGTAAGAAGTGCAAGCGCTCCTACTTCTAGCAGAGTTATTGTTGTTAGGTTTACGGTGCTGCCTTGAAGGAGGTTAGTAATCCAAACACTAAACTTTGTTCAACTTTAGAATGATAATATCAAGCAGAAGTGGCCACTTCTAGGGTGGTAGTAGACTTACTGCACTAAAGTGCAACTGATTTCAGGGAGGTAAGCATTTACTCTGGCGCAGGATGTCAATACGACTTCACCWTTCAAACTGTGYTCTCAAAGTTRGTCAAGGAATGTCTAYCCTCGTTAGATATACATGGCAGCAAGATATAATATTTCAATATCAGATTTGTTTGGGTATGGGCCTAGCGGAATCGCTAGAATCCCTAGCTGTCATACCTTCGGATACATATCCAAAACTGATATTAGCTGCCTGAACAAATTTATGAACAGCTCAAGACGCTTCGTCGATTTATGAGGATCTTTAAGATTAATTTTATAGAAGCTCGCGGTAACATTGCGGAGCGGAYGACTGTTAGAACCATTTAACTTAACTTAAAAGCAATAGGGAATAAAAGGTCGTTTAGAATAACGTGACAATGTTGAAATCTATATCATTAATATGGTTTTTAAATTTTCCAAATTCCAAATAATTACATATTGTAATATGGAAACTATAAAAAATTATATTATTATAGATATAATTTAATAAAAATATTTTAAAGCACTTTTTGCTAAATGTTAAAACAAACTCACAAGGTATTCAAGCAGCTAATACTTTTYAGCCGCGAAGGGTTTTGCTTACCACTTTTTTATTCATTATCAACTTACCCTTCCAGATCGCTCGCCCGAAATATTTGTGTCCAAGCCTTTTCCGGTAGCCAACTATTGTCCGGATTAGGCGGCACCGCTTGCAAGCCAACGCCTCCAGTCAAGAAGAACAACAAATGCGATTTATTTATTTTGCCCTGTTTATTGTTGGTTATTCGGCATATCCGCAGCATCAACGGCAAGCGCAAATGTGTTTGGGTGGATGTGTAGAGTCATCAGCAGCAGCAGCAAAGGAGCACAGCCAACACCAATGGAAATAAGTAATAGTATTGCAATTCTTGCATTTTACAATCGCTTAAAACTAGTTGCTTACTTATTGTGGGGTGTTTGTGTTTGTGTATGTGTATGAGTGTAGTGAGTGTAGTGAGTAGTTCTATTTTAGTTATTGTGCACCATAAAGGAATGTTTAATGGCATTGTTGGCATTTTAGTCGTTATCATTGCGATAGTTGTAGTTTATTTTGTGTGCAGCTGTTGTTGTTTTTCTGCTCATAGTAGCGTAAGTAAGTGGATATTAGGCGGTAGGCAAGGTATTAGCAGCTAGCAGCCAGCAGCATTTGCATCCAATCGTTTGCCCGCCGAGTAGTGGCAATGGCGATGGCGAATATCCCCGGTACAACTGCCGCTTCCTTTATAACGGACAGGGCTGCCAGTGCACACACACACACACATACATGCAAACAATCAGTGAATGAAGTTGGAAATTAGCAAATGGTAAGTTCCATTTAGATGATTGCAGTTTTATGTTCGTTCATGCAAATTAAATGGGATTAAATGAAAAATTAATCAACATTAAGATGGCAATGGCGTCAAAAGCCGACTAAGCAAATAATGCGAGTGCACAACGTCGAAATGGTGAAGTAGAAAGAATATTTGTGTTGGAAAAATGAAACAAAAGTTAAAATATATTAAAGTGCTTACTGAACTGAGAGGAAAAGCCTTAAGAAAAAATTATAATAAGAAGTGACTAAGTGTTGCACGAAAGGCATTGCAGCATCTTAACTTACCGTTTTTTGTTTAGCTGTAGGTAAATATGGATGAGTGCAGTGCGCGAAGATTGCTTGAATGTAATTTGTTTAACTATTTAAAATATTATTATATTTACTAAGTGGAAAACATTTGTACATACATATATCAAAAAATTTTCAGTTGGTTATATTCGGTACTAATGCGAAGATATTGAGTTCAAAACCTCTTCAATAAATGAAATATTTTAAAAAATGTTWTGCCAATGTTAGAAATATCCCTGATGACGCGCTATGGAATCGTTTTGGTTTGAGGAGGTCACCAAGTATGAAATTTTGAAATTATAATTTTTCATTTTGATTTTTCTTTTTGAATATATCTATAGTATCTTTAAAACTACCATACTAAAATTTTAAAGGAATATTTCAAATGTTTTACAATTTACACGCTTCTAAAGTGTGCCTGCTCATTTAATCAATTCTAATAGTTTATTTTTTTTAAAGGATTTTTTTCCAAAAACAACAGAACATCAACATCTAYACAGTTCTCCACAAAATGATGTAGAAATATGAATATGTATAGGAACGACCAAAATGTTGTCTAAACAATTGATGCAGTCAGCTTTTTCTTAATACTAAAAAAAGTTCTTTTCTTTTTCTGTCACGCCAGAGGTGCCCCGCAATTCTATTTTGTCCAACCTGATGTCTCCTTCAATATATCCTACATATGCATTAGCATCATTTTAAATAGGTTGTGTCATAGCAGGTACCCCACTTTGAAGTGTCTTCAATTAAATGTATAGCTAGACGCAGAACACATCTATAATTTCAGCACGAATATTTCTTTGAGCTTTCAAAACCGCCTTGACGGTAAAATTTGATTCGGGGATCAYTCCTGCTCACTTATTCTTAATATAAATGTTTAGAGAACTTTTATTGTGGAAACTGAGTAGTTTGTCTCCCTGTGGGATGTGGAGTGTAATCTTAATCGATATCGATTTCATTTTGTTAGTACAACTCTGCAAATATATAAAGTGTTCTACAAACTCGATCTCTCGTTGTAATGTTTCTGTACGATTCTAAACCGAATTGAGCTTTTCGAGATTTATTTAACCAACCAAATACGTTATTATGTCGAAGTTATTCAATGCTTTCAGATACTCGTATACACCAATAATGGCATGTCCTGAACCATTGAAACAGTTCAACGAATTTTGAGTATACATTAAGTGAGGCAACCCAGGCCAACATATCGGAAATTAAAGCGCATAATAACTTATGAAACTGCGGCTCTCTATTCTAATAGGTTGATTATGGGGCTTCGATCTATTGGGATTTGAAGAGATTTTAAGAGACTTTGTCACTCGATAATTGAATGAGATCACATTATTTTTCTATTTGTTTAGGATTAAAGTGGTCGAGCTTCGATCCCACTTTGGCCAATGGTGGAAAAGACACTAGTTTCATACAAAAAAGCTCAAGATAAGAAAGAATGTTACAAAAAATAATGAATTTATAGACGGATAGTAATCAAATACAGTTCCAAAATAGGTGCTTCAAAATTGATTAAAGAAATTAATGATAAAACAGAAAAATTATTGAAAAATTTTAAATCTTCAGCAAATAAAAAATATGTTGTGCTCTTCACTCTTCCTTGAAATTAAATTCATTTCGTGCACTGTAAACCTGCTTAGAGCATTTAAATGCGCTAAATACAGAAAGGTGCTTAGAAACAGCAAATACACGACTAGGTATTTCAGTACCAATTCCTGCGCCTAAACTTCGTTCACTCAAACACATATTTCTTTCAACTGCTAAATAATCGCGCTCTCACTAYGTGCATATGTTTTTCTGTGTGTCTATATATTTGAATATGTCTGTATGTGTATTTATTGCAAATTTGCTTCTTAACTAACGCTAACCACGCAGTTTACGCATCAACTCACCCGCGATACCAATATACCCAGACACATGACCAACGAGATGACAAGCTTATCCTTCTCGAAAAGCGATCGGCAAACATTTTGATAAATTGATTTCGTAAAGTAATAATTCAAATGCTCTAAACGCTCTTCGAGCACATTCGATTTCGGCGCCTTCAATATAGCGTTTACGAATAGATTCAGAAACCAGGCCAACGAGTATTGATACATTGGATCGATGTTTGCCAGTTCGCTGATGCCGAAGAAGAGTATGGCGGAATGTTTGGCCACCGGTACGTATTGTTGGCGTGCGGCGTCAATTTCCGTTTCAGTTGCCACAGCGATTACTTGCTTCTCCTGTATTTCCTCCGATAGTATTTTACTCGATGACAGTATGTTGATGGCATTCTCATCCTCCAGCACGTTGCCCTCCGACGAGGATAATACCTACGGGTTAAGTAAGGCAGAGAGTGTTTGCGCTGAATTGAGTTTGGTTAAGTTGAGGTTAAATAGAAGCACATGCTCACATATACATAAAGCATATGTATATAAGTAAGTACATATGTATTAAGTAAGCATGTAGCWAATCGTTGGCTTAGCCTCAGGCTGAACAGTTGGGGGATATATTTTAAGTACCAGCCATTACATTTACGTATGCCCACATTATACATGTCGGCATTAGCAAAGATGCCTGTTTGTATGTTTTGCTAATAGATGGATTGGTAAACTTGGGCTTAGCAAAGCAATGCAGTGGAATTGTCGAATGACTGTGTGGGTCTGAGCTCCCGCTTTCAACCATGTATGACTTGTAAAGGAAATTTTTGGCTGTCAGTTCAACCATATATGACTTGTAAGGTGAAAGTTTTGGCTATCAGTGGTTATAATTGGATATAATTATTTGTGGGTGCTTATTTCAGTTCTGACAAGTAACGTAAATACAAATAAAAATTGTATTAAATTTGACTTTTTAATATTTTTCCGATTATTTAATCAATTACTTATCAGGACGTGCTGTTATTTTTTGTGTTTGGYTTCCATCGTTATCGAAAGATAATTAAGGCCTCTTTATTTAATATTTAATTCAAAGATTCCAGATAAGCATCATAGAAGATGCGTCCAAAGTAAACAGGAATTTTGAATTTAGCRCCCCTTGGTGGCGCCATCTATATGTCCGCTAGTGCGTTAGAATCYGCAATCTTTATCGATWGTCCAGAGAGAATTTCACATGACATTTCATTCACTGGAAGTGAAGTTATTGCCTTTTAAGTATCATATGTTTGTGTTATCGGTGCGAAAATGAACTTCGAACAAAGTGCCAGCATTAAATTTTGTTTTAAAATTGTTAAAAGTTTCCACTGATGAAACAGGTTTATGGCGATGATTGCCTATCCCGTAGCATAGTGCAAGAGTGGTTTCAGAGTTTTCAAAGTGGCCGTGARGACATAAATGACGATCAACATRTASGCCAATCAAAATCCGTGATCACCGGAAACTCCATCSAAACGGTGCRTGAATTCATCAAAAATCAGCCGAAATCATCATTGGCATTTATGGAAATGGAATTGGGCACCGCCAAAACATCGATTTATCACATTTTGACCGAACATTTGGGCTTACGAAAGGTGTGTGTAYGGTTTGTTCCACACTAATTGACTTACGACCRAAAATTGCTCAAATAGATCGACGCTTGTGACCGATTATTTGACCAAAAATCACATTTTAACTATAAACCACTTCTCTTATTCACCTGATATAGCACCGTGCGACTTCTTCCTTTTCGAAAAAATGCATTTGCCCATGAAATGAAAGCGTTATGCAGACGTGGAGGCCATTCAAAAGGCTTGCATCGGCATACTGCCTTCCATATCGGCCAACGAGCTAGAACACTCATTCGACATACTTTTGGACCGTGCAAAAAGCTGTATTGCAGCAGAACGAAACTATTTTTAAGTCCTGTTTTCTTTGGAATGCACCTTGTATATATATTATTTGGGACATGCTCGTGTTACCGTCCCTATTTATATTCCAATATATAGTATTTCACATGCCATATGTAAAAAGATATATCTATGCTAGAGCCTTTCATTAGTTACGGGACAAATTTTGATAATTTGTTTCATTTCATAATTGACAATCGTTTCTGAAGGAAAATGTCTTCAGTATACTCTTTATTTGTACCCTATACAAAATTGAACAACATACACACAAATGTTTCGAAAGTCTTTAAAAAAGGTCCGTATAATATACTCACCTCTAGAATCTTCGATTCGATTGTGTATAAAGCGTCACGATTTTTCGCTGACTCGACAATCAGTTGTTCTTTTTTCTCCTGCAAATCGGGTCGTTCACGTGCCACGGTGTTAGCTAGTAGCTGCTCGCGTAAACCTTGTTCCGTTATCATGAAATTCAAAACCGCAACCTATAAAATATGTAGATATAAAAACAAGCCAGAAATAGAGAGCTTGTTTAGAATGCATAAAAATTTAAARAAATCAAGTCGTTATCGTTAATTTTATTTAACAAATCTATATACTTAACTATGCTAACTTTACTGAAAAAGTGGGCGTGGCCGCGTTGTACTCGTATAATAAGTTTAATGTGCATATCTCCTAAACTAAGTGAACTAAACCGCGACAACTGCCTTATCACACCCTTATCGACATTTATAACCTWTGACTAAATAAGCCAGACATATTCCGGGATCCGCCCGAACTACAACAACGCCTACTTTCCCTAGAGCAAGATTTTAAGTTCGATTCGATTATTTAACTTTCTAGTACACAAATCAAGACGCAATTGACATAACGGGATACAATTTTACACGAAGAATATGACTAAAAATCGGCCAACATGTGAGTTATCTTAACGAAAATGAGACAGCGTATTTACCATAACTAGTATGTATCTTTGTGASTAGATAGTATCTTTGTGCCTAAAATGGATAAAGTTGGGCGAAAACTTGGCCTGTCTCCCATACAACTAATCTCAGGATTTTCGAGCATCCGGCTGACTTTACTTCATATGATTGGTATTTGTATGTGAGACACTTTAAAAAATAGTATGTGGTATTGGCAAAAAAAGATAGAATTCAGTCGGTAGCACCCCCATCTCCCTGCTATTTATAAGACTTGCCCGCATATAGCATGTTCATATTTTCTCACAACAGCCTCATATTATTTATATTTGTTTGACTGAACTTCTCTAATGAATGGCTTTGAATATTTTCGTGAGRGATTTACGGTTGCAAGGTGATATACTATATGTTTGAAGATACCACTGGCAAAACATATTATTTTCCGAACTTCCATAGTAGAAGGCTAAGTTTGTAAATGGTTTTAGTAGAATTTCAAACAAAACTTCATAATCGAATATGTATATTTACTTGACTCTGTATTATTATTCGGCTCTATATTTGTTAATATGTATCTTCAGAGGAAAAAAATTCTCTCTTCTCAGTGTTAAATCAATAAATCACGACAAATTTACCCACAACCTTTATTTGGTTTTGGTCAATACCGCAATCTTTCATATGCTCTCGGTGGCGCACTTTAGCTTTCACTTACCATAACCATTATTTCCGGTGAGTAGTGCGGATTACGCAAACAGGTTGTTATGTACAGACGAAAGTTGGGATTATATTCCAGCATCGTTTCACCGCTTTTAATAAATAGACCGCCTTTGTGCTTAATTACGTTCTTCTCCAGTATTGGCGTCAAATTGGAATCYAAGCTTTCTCCTGCAATCAATTTATTAAAAAATGCAATTTTTAATTTAGAAATTCTGCTGAACACCATACACGCGCTTTTGGTACGCTTAGATGGTGCATAGAGTGCATAAATTTGTTTGCTTTTTTATTCTGGATGCCTGCAGCGCTTTACTCCGCATATTTTTTTAATTAWATAGAGTCAGAGCGGTCTCTGTTTTATATATTTATATTGTTTTTTGTTTTCTAGTTTATTGGTACAAAGGTTTTTAGCATTTTTTCAATTATCAGAGCGAAATTTGCATGATATATACCCGAAATATTACTAAAATTTTAGTTCGTTTGACTTAGATTATACCTGTKAGAGTTGTTGGGAAATTTGTGTAAAAAATTATAAATATTTTTTATTGCGAATTTGAAAGTTACATTTTCCGATAATTTATCATTTCCGCAGACTTTGCTTCTRTATATTCCTCGTATATAGTTATTCGAAATATCTTCGTCTCCGTATCTGCTTTAATTTTAGTTTAGTGACGAGTGATAATCTATTTTGAAAGCATTGRTTCAACCATGACGATTGATAGAACATTTGGTTTTTTAAAAGATTACTTCTATTATATGAAATTCATGGTAAAATTTTAATTATGTGAACGAAGTCTGTAAAATTTTATAAAACTACTTCACTGCCTTATTGCAGACAGGATAATAACTTAAATTTTATGGAGCGTAATTTTTTCTCTTAAAACATGTGTACCATTTGCCCTTAGTGGTTGGTTAGAGGGATAAAATTTTCATTTCAAATTACATCATATTGGCAACTCTTCGTGTATTTAAAATGAACAAGTGGAACATGTAAGATGAGCACGCATATAAACAGAGAGATAAGGTACGATYACTTTTCTTATTGTGTATAATATGCAATATGTTCATTAGGTTTCATTTTTTGTAAACTTACACAAGTTGCTTCACATAAAAAATTATATCTCACAAACTCAGAGTTCGACTGTCGAATCTGTACACGTACCTTTTAAAGGTAGGGACTGACCAAAACTCGTACCGATTTAATATTAGTATTACAATCTACCTACATATGTATCAGTCAAAGAACTTTTCAGCCCACCTATTAACTCCAAGGAAATGTTTATGTTTGGATAACCTTATACTATGTTCGGACCGACATTGAAAACATTTTGAAAACACATTTGTKGGTTGTGGAATCTAAGTGGTTCGGACGACAATGTGTGTTTTCGATGACAACTCACAAATTTATTTGTTTACCACAATTCAATGAGTAGGGCTCCTCCCCTATTCACACATTTCTTCTTTTTGTATATTTGCTTTTCCATTTTTCTATATCAATAGGGGGATTCTCTTGCTCTTGTAAGATTGCACGATGACACAAAATGCAAAAAGAGATATGCAAGGCCAAGAGAGCACCCTTTGCAGAATCTAGTGATATATGACGGCACGAAAATAAACATGTGTTTTTGTCTGACATATTTTACAGCCATTGCAAATAGTTTTCTGCATGTGTTTGTTGTTGTGCCGTTGCACCAAGAGGAAAATTCTGCAATTCGTGTACCGGGTCAGGATTTTGCAAGACAAGAGAATCCCCCTAATATGACACTATCAAGGGACAGCTGTATTTGTATATGGAATTTAAACAAATATCAAGTAAAAATTTAGCGTCCGCAAAATATGTCTTCCAATAAAATCGATYAAACCACAGCAGGCACCGATTATAATGAGTGGAATGTAAGTTTTCAAGTAGTTTTCAGCGAAAAAACAAGTTTAAGGGCGAAAACCAGGTTTTCCCACGAWAACATGTTTTCATTGCCGGTCCGAACATAGCGATCGCTCAATTATAATCTACTTGCAGCATTTTYATATTACTAATTAGCTTTTACGTGTCAAGGCAGTTTGCATTTTTCTTGAAAATTGATAATATTACATATATTTATGATATGTTTGCCGTAGATTTCTAGTAGAAATGAATGAAGTAGCGTTCGGCGCAACTATTTGATTTGCGGACGTTTTGAATATAAAATCGAAGTCGGTTTTTATGCGAWAAGCTAGTTTATAATTTTTGTCGAGTTTTACGGCAAACATTGACATTTACCTACGTATGGAATAAATGGATCGTAATTCATCAAGCAGCTGTAACATTGATAATTGAAAATGTAATTGAAACGTTAATTGGATRCGAAATCCAAAAAAATGGTGCTCGTAAATACAAGCATCAACTTAGATATAAAATACAAGCATATGTACACATATGTACATTATATCCGCATACATACATATATGTACCTATTTATATATGAATTAATGTGTCCTGTGTGCTCGCATATATTATATTTTTTACATGRACGCTTTTTGACTTATGTACACATGTATTTTTGTGCAGTTGTTTGTGCATATTTCGTGATTTATTGCCGCCAACTTTTACTGTTAACACATTTGACATATTGATTTCATTTAATAAAACGTCCCTTGAAATACAAAATCAAATATTGTTTGCACACTTTCATTAGCATATGAGGTTATTAAAATTCTATTAATAGAAAAACCGCATAAAGCGTTTGTAATTAAGCACTTTCAAATGCCACGAATTAAAAATGTTTTAAATTAACTTTTCTCATTAAAAATGAGCAAATAAATAAATATTATTAATTTTTTTAAGTTTTGTAAATGTAAGAGTGATATTATTGTAATATTTAAGGCAAGGTTCATTACTAAAGTCTGACTATATACATAACAACGCGTTTTTCAATAAGAACGCTACAAAGGGGTTTTTTTAAATAAGACAAAGTCAGTTCAGGATATCAMTGAAATTCTTTATTCCCGTTAAACTACATTCTATGCCATTATGTACGAGTATTTTCGACGATTTTCAAGCATAAATCGGCCGAGAATGCTGCAATTTCGCGTCCTATATTCGTASGAAGTTCATCAATCGTCGCTGGCTTGTKGGCATAGACCATATGCTTGACGTAGGCCCACAGGAAGTAGTCTAACGGAGTCAAATGGAACGACCGAGACGGCGAACTGACTGGGTCATTTCGTGATATAACACTGTGATATAACGCTGTGTGGTTTGTGGCGCCGCTCTGTGGTTAGTGGCGCCGTCCTGTTAGAACCACATATTGATCAAGTCAAATCAAATTATCCGATTCGATCCAGCGATTCCGATTCACAGTAACGCGCTGGTCTTGATCATCATCACGGAAGAAGTAGGCCCAATGACGACGCCGCCCCATAAACCGCACCAAGCCGTAATTTTTTTGGGATGCAATGGTAATAAATAACTTGAAATTGGGTGCAAAAAGTGGTTAACTCCCAATCGGTCAGCAATTTTAATGTTATGTTGCCATGCGGAAACGTGGGGCTTYTTTCATTATTTGGCACTAACTTTAAAGTAACATTGTATTGCTTCATASTCATCAATTGATTTTGTGAGASAAATAAAAAAAATTATCGTAARATCGTCCAAAGKCTAATATCGTCCACAACCTGCACGTGCAAATGCTGGTTTTGATAGGAAAAAATTGTTTTACCTACAAAAAGTTTTTGAGGTATTAAGTGGTTTAGTACAGTGTTGGGCATGCCATTACGAAGCAAATGCGAAATATGAACTTAACGTGTTTGAACTATTCTAAAAATCAACTATGCGACTTGGAAGGCATATGTTGAATATCTGATGAAAAACTGAATGTGAGTTTATGAGACAGGTTATACATYTTTCAACGAAAAGAATCCACATCGAATTTTTGTTCGTTTGCTATGGTATGGTCTAATATCTTTAAATTGCATCTATTTTTGGGGCTAAGTGACWAACTATCATTTTAATAAACTAAGCTTACAAAACCCCTACTACGCATGTCGGTGCGTTCCTCATTTATTAAACAAACCCAAAACAGAACACGTGCCTATAACTGATCCACTTCTACGTATTCATTCTTATTRTAAGCTAGACTTCGGCGCGTCGTCAAGTTCTTTATTGCTGTCGTAATCTCGGAAAATAAACACGATGAAAAATCAAAAATGTTCCAATCATCTGCTGCCCACTGACACGTGGCCAAATTAATATGTACGTACATCCATGCATACATTCCGCATACGGAACTGTGTTTGAAAAATGTTCAAATCATTCGATACGGCTCGGCTTGACAAGTAATTTGTTGTCGTACGAAACACATAAAAATCGCAAATCACCATGAACTTGAGTTGATGCGTTTGTTGATTTTATATTTATAACATGTGAGTACTTACACACACCAACATACGTACATACATACACACATATGTATGTATATGCAGTTAAGTATCGGCGCATAAATGTTTCGCCAAGTATCTGTCTGCATGTTCAAAACCCCAAAAATCCATTCAATKGAAGAGCACTCAGCTTAATAAGTGTTTCTGAGAAGTCATCTGCGGGTGTATGTATGTATGTATGTATATCGTATCAGCGCGCATGTTACTCTGTTGTTATGTGCTTTTAATTGGATTTGTATCGACGTCACTCGTTTATTCTTTCTGGCTGATTTCATTGCGTCATTAATCTTAGCCAATTCGAATTGGTGAGTTTTGAAAAAAAAAAAAAAAAAAAAAAAAAAAAAAAAAAAAAAAAAAAAAAAAAAAAAAAAAACAGTATGTATACTTATATACTATATGTATATTTATTATGTAATGCATATGTGTATGTATATTTATTGCGATTTTGTACATGATGTATAAATTAGGCTCCCGAAACTTTTAACAATCTTTTTTACAATCAAAATAATGAAATGCCAAATATATATACAAGGCATTTATATCTACAGGTTCCCAAAAAAAAAAAACGGGGAAATCACGCAATCGGAAATGTTGTACAAATCATTCTGAACAACTTTGCCTAAAAGACTATGGGTCTAAAACCGGTTTCGAGCCAACAGTTTTGAAGTCGAAGTTTTTTAAATCTTTTTAGGTTTCATCCAAGAAGGAATCATTGCATGGATGAAAATATTTTAAAACTCTCTTGGGGAGGTTCATCAGATTTAATTTCTCTGAAGCTTTGAACTTCCATWACAGCATTCATCTCTTCATCTTAAAATACTTTTGGGTGGTCAAATCAGTGTAAATCGAAATTTCCCCAACCGAAGCGAGCGAACCAATTCATTGGTGGCTTGCGTGGCATTCTTGCTATTTTATAAGAAGATTTCTAAATATACCAAATTTTTTCATTATTTTCACTGCTTTTTGAACAGCTGTGACTTTTATTCATTTCCCCGAATTTCATGTTTTTTGGGATTAATTAAGCTTAAAACCTCATTTTTYMA